AGAGCCTGGTCCGGTGAGAACCCGGCGTGCTCCGTCCCGGCTTTGTAGGGATGCGAGGTCAATGGTCTAACGACTACTTCATGCACGACTATGAGGAAAAAAGAAGGTAGTGAAAGAACTCGAGGCGGCGCAGATGAAANGGACCAATGGATGCAGGAACAAAGCTTAAGGTCAAATTCAGGACCGGGGACATAGGCCTTGGAGAACGTCGACGAAGACATAGGACGGTAGACGAGGAAGACGACGAGTTCAAATGTGATTGCGGCTTCGAATGCGAAGACCGTGTTCATGTAGTCGCGGATTGTCCGTTGTACAAGAAGGAGAGGGAAGTGTACGTGACTGAGCTGGGAAGAATAGATGGGGCGTACAGGGAGACTTCAACCCCCTGTTCCTCACTTCCCTTCCCGGGGCCAGAGGATAAGATTGGGATCGGTTGCCGCACCCGCGTCCTCACAACGTTCGTGCGTATAACAATCCATATACAGAGAGCAAGCACACGACTGCAACTCCCGAACACACGCTCTCCCCTCCCGAAGCTCCTCGCTCACCTCCTCTTGACCCAGCCGTCACCCTTTTCCTTCCCTTCCTCCACGGCTCCACCCACATCAGCCGCCGCATCCTCCCCGACAGCTTCCACCCCACCCTCAGACCCCTTCTTCTCCCCATCACCACCACTCCCTTCCGTCCCAACGGTAGCCAGCCGATGCCACTCCCTTCCGCACGTCACCCGTTGATCTCCGTGCCGCTCCGGTACCCCGCCGGCCCTCCGTCGCCATCGCCGCTCCCCCCCGAGCCTCGGCCCCCCACCCTCGTTTCCTTGGGGTGCGGCGGCGGTCACGACCAACGACGACGCCTGTCTGGTCGTGCCAACATCAGCCCAAGGTGTTGGGCCCGCCACGCTCCAACACGACGCACGGCTGCTGCTACGGCTGCTGCTTTCACTGGAGGAGTGCGGTTGAGACTGCCTTAGCGAATCATGCCCCCCGTTGGCACCGACAAGTGGCGCCAGTAGCAGCTGTAAACGAGACACGAGCCAAGAACCAAACACGGCCGTGACGAGGGGGGAAAGGGTTTCGTGGTTTGACGGCGGCAGCACGAGAGGGTTAGGGTTCGAGGAGGGACACAGACACAGACACAGGAGGGATGCGTTTTTTTTCTTTCAATAGCAGCTTCCCGCCGGTTGCCCTGCCGCCGCACTCGTTTGCTGTTGCTACAGCACTGCAAAAAATGTTGTGTTGCACTCGTACTACATATATAATACCAGCGTCCAGCTGGGAAGGCCAACCAGGTAACAGCAACAATCGATTGTTTAGTGTTGTGGTCTGCTGATGACCGCATTCGTCGATGGTACCTCACGAGACCTGGTCGATGATCTTTCATTGTACGGAGTACCGGTAGTTTGTTGTCGTGTCATATGTGTCAGAGGGTAGATCTGGGTCAACGCATGAGGTCGGGTTCCTTTAGCGAAACTGCTGCGTCGACAGTGGTAGAAAAGGTGCTATTACTCCGTTGAATCCGAGATGCACTATTAGTATACTGCAGCTAGCGGCTGTGTTTGAATATGCACTGCTGTATATACTCTGTACATCGCGCAGTCGTGTCCAAGGAGCATGCTCTGGTCTGGTAGCCAAGCTTTGAGGGTTGAAGCCTCGCCGCTGCTACACGAAACACACCGGAGCGCTGGCGAGGGGGCGAATTGACCGCGTAGTACATCGAGGTGCGTCAAATCCTGTGCATACAATCCCCACCCAAGCCACGTGCCGACAACTATAACACTGCTGTACGTGGGTCGTGTTCAAGGGCGTTGGCGAACTCTCTAAAAAAACTGGCCATCACGGCTGCCCGTTTACACCACTTCGGCCACTGCAGTCCATCATCTCAGCTGCATCACCACCGGCACGTGTTACGCCTGTCAGCTTCAACAAAATTGCACACGACAACGACTCGCCCCTTCCGCCCCCCTATCTTCGTTTCACCTTCCTGCCTGCAGGAGGAGTGCCGGCGGTACGCCGGCGTTGGCGTTGCAACCCCTGCTGATGATCACGGGCAGGCCCCAGTGCAGGCGGCCTAGCTGCTGGCGCCACGAAAGCCTGCTGCATCGGGAAAGGGTAGCAACAACTTCTTTGGGACGACACCACCATCAGAGCCAGGAGAAGGAGCACCAACCCCCGGAGCCCTCCCGAGTGCCAGTGGGGTAGGCTGTGGCAACAGCCGCTATGAATGCCCGCCTTCTTCATGTTTGGGAGATACGGAGATACTCTCAGCACTGCGGAACTGCAAGCTCCCCCTCAATCGTTGGCTTGCCCGTCGACTACGATAAGTGTGACTGCGGCATTGCACACCTTTGGACGAGCAGCAGGGCAACCGCTCCGATGACTGCCACACAGCACACCTGACGCCACGCTGCTATGTGTATGATCACGCTCCACTGCTAGGTAGGTTGCCGGGTTCAATGGTTTATGACCTAAAAAAAAAAATTATATTATAGGTCATATACATTGCCGGGTTGCCCAATGGTATATGACTATATAATACTAGATCGGGAGGTGGAATAGTTTTTCGTGGTGGCTGCACAAAAGTACCTGCAGTAGGCTCGTGCGTCTGTTACAGAAGAACGGGGGGCGGTCCATCATCACCAGCTAGAGAGGGGGGTGGTATCCATCATCATTCGCTAGAGGGGGGGTGGTGTCCATCATCAGCTAGCGAGGGGGGTGGTATCCATCGTCAGTCGTCAGGGGGGGGTGCTATCATCAGAGAGGGGGGAGTGTCATCCATCATCATCAGCAAGATAAAAAAAAACATACGTTGAAAAATTCCCCGGCTTGTGCTGCTGCTGCTGCTGATTGTTTGAACAGGACGCTTCCGCCACCATATACATTGCCGGGTTGCCCAATGGTATATGACTATATAATATTATATAGTAGTCATATACCATTGTGGGCAAAGACTATGACATAATAACCATGGTTATATTATGTCATAGTCTTTGATTGGGGGTTGCCCTCGACGAAGGGGGCGCCGTGAGTTGCAGAACCTTTGGTGGTGTACATATATATATCCAAGGCATGTAAACCCCCTTGTCAGCGTGTGCCCCGATCCTTGGGGCGATGTATGTCGAGTCTTTCCGTTCCAACATCCGAAACACATGCAGAAGCCACCTCAGGGTCGTCTAGCTTGTTGGCTCAGCTCGATGCATGCACAGGTTTGTCAGTGAAGTTTGCATTCTGCTGGAGCTGAAAAATTAAACTGTAGAACCCGCTAGAATATCTAGTCTAGACTAGTCTACACGGCGGTGTGCGCATGTAGATGCGAACACGGACGTAACGGATCCGAGCACCATTCACGGCGGTGTGCCAAATGGAATGATGATGGGCGCTTGCCATCTTCACATGTGCCGCACGTATCTTCGTGTACGTCCCCATTCACGGTGTGCTTTGTCAGCACAACTGGGCCGAGCGGCGCCGCTATCGATGACTCGGCGTCAAGAGCCGTCGCCATCGGCTACAAGTGTTCCTTTCAAATGCCACCAAGACGTACTGCTGCTTCGCTTAGGAGCGAGAGTCTCGGCATACGAGGATGCAGCCGCTAGTGGCCCCTGCTTACGGCGTCTCGTTGGCGTGCGGGAGTACAACGATAAAGGGGTGCCCCTTGTGTACGCCTCCCACTCCTACAGGTAGGTATGGACTACACAAGTTAGGATAGAGATATACTACGTGTTGCTGCCGTAAAGGCGTACGGACTTCCTCGTTGTTCTCGTTGTGTCAAATGCTTTTCCAGGGGATTGTCCAACAACTGCTGTACTACAATTCGCATGTTGTGTTACTGAAGAACCACAACCGGTTGTCTTATTGCTCGAATCGATCAACAACGTACAAGTTCGACCACGCACCACCTACAGTACTTTGTTACACTACAACTACAGCTTACAGGTAGAAGAATGTAGTCAACCCCTAAACTTTGTTGGACTAGACTGCTGTCGTGGCACACGTTTTTACTCTTTACACACAAGCGCTGAAATTGCTGTTCCGATCATAGATGATACTGCCGTGCTTCTCCTAAGCCGCACTCCAAGAAAAACAGTGCTATTATTTCTGTAAAGTGATGTCTCCTCGTGCTTTTTGGAAAGGTGTGATGCGGAGCACGTACCTAGCTGGATACGGCACTGCCGCTCGGTCATCCACGACCGCACGGAAAGAGAGACGATGAAGGAAAGAGAACAGGTGAGAACAGAACGCCCACAGCAACAGCACTCTACTTCTGTAGGGTACCGCCAGGATGAGAGTTTACGGTACGTTTACTCCACAGATTTGAGCGCAATCAGCTACACGTGGCGGGAGAAAGATGTTAGATCAAGAATTAAGCCTACGAGTATACCTTTTGTTGGATAAAAATACACCTTTAGACCGGTCAGCGCTGACTGAAAAGCATAGTGGATAGGTCTTTGCCTAACAAAAGATACACGGCTGGATCAGTTTCGAAGCCCCCTAACTACTCTATCAGCCGCGCGTGGCGAGGGGTCCGGCCCCGGAGATCCTTATCACCCAATGATCCAGCTGGAAGGCTAAGAGCCTACGAGTATATCTATTGTTAGATGAAGACTTCCACTATGCTACTCAGTCAGCCTCGGACGGTCCGAGGCTGACTGAGTAGCATAGTGGAAGTCTTCATCTAACAATAGAAGTGTAGCAGTGGTTAAGGTGGACTGGGGTCCGAGGCTGACTGAGTAGCATAGTGGAAGTCTTCATCTAACAATAGAAGTGTAGCAGTGGTTAAGGTGGACTGGGGTCCGAGGCTGACTGAGTAGCATAGTGGAAGTCTTCATCTAACAATAGAAGTGTAGCAGTGGTTAAGGTGGACTGGGGTCCGAGGCTGACTGAGTAGCATAGTGGAAGTCTTCATCTAACAATAGAAGTGTAGCAGTGGTTAAGATGGACTGGGGTCAGGCAATTCGTGCAGCGCTATCATGTGCCAATGACTACATCCCAAGCACTGCCTCTGCCAGTTGAACAGATTAGACGACTCCGTTCGGCTCCTACAGTAGTGAGGCTGTGCGTACTCTAACGCATGCCCTTGCCTGTACACACTCTCATCAAACACACACGCCGTTGCCGCGGACACAAACAGGGTTATGTTGCTATGGGTTATTTCGCTCTCACGATAATGCGCCGATGGAGGAAGTGGGCACACCGGGAACGCAGATTGCGGTGTCTTTTCGAAAAGCTGAGGGTTCGGCATACCGTTCGTCGCTGGAAGCAAGCTACTAGGATCACTGCTTTCCTCAAGCTCCTACAGCGCCTAGCGATGCGAGGAGCGTTGCATCGCTGGAAAAGGGAGATAGAAAGGCGGGCTACCTTTGAGATGGCGGATAGATACCATTCGCGAGCTCTGCTATCCAAGGTGCGTTTGACCTCATGAAACATGTATCGCTCGTGACAAAACAAATCACATGCAAGTCAAACGCTTGCCCTTGATCCACGAAACCGGGCGATTGCTTTTACCATCTCATGAGATTTCCTGCCCCCCCAACCCCCCACCCTCGGTATTTGCCATCGGGATTGGGTTTTCGTCGCTTGGCAACGACGTTGTAAAACAAGCCAATTCACTTCGTGAACTCGGCAACCAGGTTACCGTTTGATTGTTTTACCTCTGTTTTTTTTTTTGGCGGTAACCATAATGGTGGGTCGAGTTACACATCT